CGTGCCGCCGTGCTGTTGTCGTGCCCACCTTGCCGCCGTGCTGTTGTCGTGCCCACCTTGCCGCCGTGCTGTTGTCGTGCCCACCTTGCCGCCGTGCTGTTGTCGCGCCCACCTTGCCGCCGTGCTGTTGTCGTGCCTCCCGTGCCGCCGTGCTGTTGTCGCGCCCACCTTGCCGCCGTGCTGTTGTCGCGCCCACCTTGCCGCCGTGCTGTTGTCGTGCCTCCCTTGCCGCCGTGCTGTTGTCGTGCCTCCTGTGCCGCCGTGCTGTTGTCGTGCCTCCTGTGCCGCCGTGCTGTTGTCGTGCCTCCTGTGCCGCCGTGCTGTTGTCGTGCCTCCTGTGCCGCCGTGCTGTTGTCGTGCCTCCTGTGCCGCCGTGCTGTTGTTGTCGTAAGGCATCCTATTATAAGGTCGTGCAGCTGGGTCAGGTCCTGGCTCGTTGTCTCCTCCTACACCTTCTTCCTCTCCGCCTCCTTCCTCTTCTTGTGTCCGCACGTCCCGCTCGTCCCTCGGGGTGTTCTGGACCTGGTCTTAGTCTTCAGCCTCACAGTTAGGGCTCACTGCGAGGTGTATCCTTTAACGCTGCACATCTTGATAGTCTTTAGTCTTCACCCACAAACTGTCCAGTCACAACCAACTTCACTATAAGTGCTCACTCCCCTGCGGGACTCCACTCGTAACGTCTCGCCAATCTGAGACCTCACCCCTCACACTGACTCGTTGTCTCCTGTTGCTTAGGTACTCCTGTATCCAACGGAGTACCTTCCCTCTCACTTCAACCTGCATCTCCAGCTTTTTCACTAGCCTCTTGTGTGGCACTGTATCAAAGGCTTTCTGACAATCCAAAAATATGCAGTCTGCCCACCCTTTTCTTTCTTGCCTTATTTTTGTTGCCTGGTCGTAGAATTCAAATAACCCTGTGAGGCAAGACCTTCCATCCCTGAACCCATGTTGATGCTGTGTTACAAAGTTCTTTCGCTCCAGGTGCTCCACTAGCTTTCTTCACACAATCTTCTCCATCAGCTTGCATGGTACGCAGGTTAGGGACACTGGCCTGTAATTCAGTACCTCCTGTCTATCCCCTTTCTTGTATATCGGGACTACGTTAGCTGCTTTCCAAATTTCTGGCAGTTCCCCCTGTTGCAAGTGATTTGTTATACACTATGGAGAGTGGTAGGCACAGTTCTTCTGCTCCTTCCTTTAGAACCCAAGGGGAGATTCCATCTGGGCCTAAAGCCTTTGTCACATCCAACTCTAGTAAACACTTCCTTACTTCCCCGCTGGTAATCTTAAACTCTTCCAGTGGTTCCTGGTTAGCTATTCCCTCTCTTATCCTTATCTCTGGGATTTCTCCTTGCTCTAAGGTGAAGACCTCCTGGTATTTCTTATTCAGTTCCTCACACACTTCCTTGTCGTTTGTAGTAAATCCTTCTGCCCCTATCCTTAATTTCATAACCTGTTCCTTTACTGTTGTTTTTCTCCTGATGTGGCTATGCAGCAATTTAGGCTGAGTCTTTGCCTTGCTTGTGATGTCATTTTCGTATTGTCTTTCTGGCTCTCTTCTCATCCTGACATATTCATTCCTGACATTCTGGTATCTTTCTCTGCTCTCCAGTGTCCTGTTATTCCTATTGTTTCTCCATGCCCTTTTACTTTGCTGCTTAGCTAGCCTACATCTCTGATTAAACCATGGGTTTCTCATCTTCATTTCACTGTTTTCCTTTTGGGCTGGGACAAACTTGTTTGCTGAGTCCTTGCACTTTTGCGTGATGTGGTCCATCATATCTTGGGCCGTCTTTTCCCTGAGCTCTGTTTCCCATGCTATATCTGTTAGGAAATTTCTTATCTCCTCATAGTTTCCCTTTCGGTATGCTAACCTTTTGGTTTCGGTATCCCTCCTCGAATTCAATAACCCTTCTTCAATCAGGTACTCAAATACCAATACACTGTGGTCGCTCATTCCTACTGGGTCCTCAAAACCGATTTCTCTTATGTCAGAGTCGTTCAGGGTGAAGACCAAGTCGAGTCTCGCTGGTTCTTCATTTCCTCTCATCCTTGTGGGTTCTCTGACATGCTGGGTTAAAGAGTTAACCTGCTATGTAGTCTCTGAAACCCTCACAGCCCGGGATAGCCATCTCCTTAAAACTCCATTCCTTTCTCATGAGTAGGGTCACTCCGTCTCCTCCCCTACCTTCCCTCTCTTTCCTTATTACTGTGTACTCCTGGGGAAACACGGCATTCGTTATGATTCCAGAGAGTTTTATTTCAGTGACTCCGATTACATCTGGGTTCACTTCCTGTGCTCTTTCCCTTAGTTCACTTGCCTTACTTGTGATCCCATTTATGTTCGAGTACATTACCCTGAAACTGACTCTTTTCTGCTTCTCCTCTGGGGGGGACCTGTGGGGCCTGGGGTGAGCGGGAGCTGGGAGGATCTGGTACGGGGAGACTGGTGGAGGAGGAATGGCTTAGGGGGGTGGGGGGGGAGGGGGAGGGTAGGGGGGTGGGTGAGAGGGTTAGGGTTAGGGGGGGGTGAGAGGGGGAGGGTTGGGGGGATGGTGGAGAAGGGGGGTTTGGGGGGGCAGTAAAGGGGGGTTTGGGGGGGGGCAGTAAAGGGGGGAGGGCTTGGGGGGCGTAGGGGTAAAGGGAAGGCTGAGGTGGGTGAGGAAGAGGGGAGAATTTTGGGGAGTGGTGGAGAGGGTAAGGCTTAGGTGGGGTGGGGGAGAGTATGGGGCTTAGGGGGGGCGGGGGAGAACGGAGGGCTTGGGGATGGGAGAGACGGGAGGGCATGTGGGAGAAGGGAGGGCTTGGGGGATGGGGGAGAAGGGAGGTCCTGGGGGGGAGGGAAGATTGGGAAGAGGGGGGGGAGTGGGAGGAGGGGATGGGTGGGAGGAGGGTGCCTTAGGTGGGTACTTAGTGGGCAACTGTAAATGTTGTCCATGCCAACATTTACAATTACTTCACACACTAACACTTGCTCATTCACCTTTGCTTTGCCTGTTGCGCACCAGTAAACTCGTTAACTATTGTTTTATCTTTCATAGCTTAACAATTGCTGTTATTTTTAATAATAAACAAGCCACAATGGCCTTATGTCCGTCGCTATGTATTGCCTTCAGCGGGGCTACAGGTCCCCACACTTGCACCAGAGGTATATATGTTGTTACCAGGAATGTCTTAACATGGTGCTACGCTCTTCCCTGCTGACGTTGTTGCTCTGAAAGAATAATTTGTGGAAACAAATTACGCGCACACATGAGGCGGGAGAGGCCATACTCACCCATATTCACAGTGAGTGAGTATGGGCACCGTGGAAATTTATTTTCTAATACTAGCTGTACCCGGCCACGCGTTGCTGTGGCTTAGCAGCACATGTGCCTTGCTGAGCCACAGCAACCTTCCCTGTCCCCCAGTCCTCCCCACCATTCCCCCTTCACCCGTCTCCTCGGCCTCCCAACCATTCCCCACTCCACCATGCCTCGTGCCCCACTCCCCCGTCCCTTTGTCCTCCCCACTAATCTCCATTTCCCCATCCCCTCGTACCCACCATTTCAAACTCCCCCGTCCCCTCATCCTTCCTTACCATTAGCCTCTCCCACGTCTCCTTTTCCTCCCCACCATCTCTCACTTCCGTCCCCTCGTCCTCCCCACCATCTCTCACTTCCGTCCCCTCGTCCTCCCCACCATCTCTCACTTCCGTCCCCTCGTCCTCCCCACCATCTCTCACTTCCGTCCCCTCATCATCCCCCACCGCGTGGGGGATGATGAGGGGACGTCCATTGCCTTCCCAAATGGTCTGAAGTTCCCACCAGAAAATTGGGAACATTAAGTGATCTGATGTTCCCATCACTGAAATATAAGAAAAACTGTTGAAAATGAAATGAAAATATGAAAAAATAAAAAAATAAACTATACTCACGAAAGGAACGGTATGGTAAACAACACAGCTCAATTCCAATGCAATTCACACAAAATAGTTAAATTAAAATGAAAATAAATCAAAATCTCTGAAAATTCAATTTATCAATGGAATCAGAAACATTGAAATGGAATTGTAACATATTTAGTATAGCATGTGTGTTGCTCTTACATGCAACAAAGGCGCGGTTTTTCAAGAAAAGCATAGTGTTACCTGTCACAGGTGTGGCATCTATACTTATACTTACGAAATGAACGGTATGGTAAACAACACAGCTCAATTCCAACACAATGTCACACAAAATAATTAAATAACAAATAAAATAAATCGAAATCTGAAGTCCCAGAAAGCAGCGGAACTTACATTAGTCACTATTTGTTGCCAAGACTTAACAGAACTCAGGAAATTGCAGAATTCTGCTTTTTCAAATAGTACATAAATTTTGGCCTTAATCTAGGATTCAGTCGTTACGTTGCAGGAAAACACCACCCGAAGGGGAAAGGTTTATTCATTAATAATTACCTGACTGTCATGTGTAACACCTGTGCTCTACATGAACACGAGGGTATGGCACAGCCCCCTTACTATAATCGCAAGTTCAGTGATACTGAGCTGAGGTTCTCTACTGAAGAGCGAGTTATTAGCCGCAGTGGTAGGATTAAAAAGTTTTATCAGTATGTAGGCGATGAGTCACAATAACGTGGCTAAACTATGTTGACCAAACCACACACTAGAAGGTGAAGAGACGACGACGTTTCGGTCCGTCCTGGACCATTCTCAAGTAGAATGTGGGTTTGACAATCGACTTGAGAAAGGTCCAGGACGGACCGAAACGTCCTCGTCCCTTCACCTTCTAGTTTTATCAGTATGTCTAGGAAATGTTTTACCTTCCAGGTAGACCACCAATCCAGTAGTCATCTCAGTACCCTTAGGAACGCTAATCCCTGGATTATGCAAAGGGCCTCCGTTCTTGCATCAGTTTAGGTTCCGTGTTGAGTACATCAAAAAAGCCGACAATGTCGGAGCTGACTGGTTGAGTCACTTGGAAACGAAAGAAGAGCTGTCAGGAGGTAATCCAACCCTAATGGGAGAAGCGAGTATAAGTAACCAACAACTAGAGGATGAAATAACTACTTCGCCGCTGACCTTCATCGGTCATGCAGGAACCTCCTCCGGGGGAGTCGTCATCGGTCATGCAGGAACCTCCCCGGGGGAGTCGACATCGGTCATACAGGAACCTCTCCCGGGGGAGTCGTCATCGGTCATCCAGGAACCTCCCCGGGGGAGTCTTCATCGGTCATGCAGGAACCTCCCCGGGGGAGTCTTCATCGGTCATGCAGGAACCTCCCCGGGGGAGTCGTCATCGGTCATGCAGGAACCTCCCCGGGGGAGTCGACATCGGTCATACAGGAACCTCTCCCGGGGGAGTCGTCATCGGTCATGCAGGAACCTCCACGGGGGAGTCTTCATCGGTCATGCAGGAACCTCCCCGGGGGAGTCTTCATCGGTCATGCAGGAACCTCCCCGGGGGAGTCGTCATCGGTCATGCAGGACCCTCCCCGGGGGAGTCTTCATCGGTCATCCAGGAACCTCTCCCGGGGGAGTCGTCATCGGTCATGCAGGAACCTCTCCCGGGGGAGTCTTCATCGGTCATGCAGGAACCTCCCCGCGGGAGTCGTCATCGGTCATGCAGGAACCTCCCCGGGGGAGTCTTCATCGGTCATGCAGGAACCTCCCCGGGGGAGTCTTCATCGGTCATGCAGGAACTTCCCCGGGGGAGTCGTCATCGGTCATGCAGGAACCTCCCCGGGGGAGTCTTCATCGGTCATGCAGGAACCTCCCCGGGGGAGTCGTCATCGGTCATGCAGGAACCTCCCCGGGGGAGTCTTCATCGGTCATGCAGGAACCTCCCCGGGGGAGTCTTCATCGGTCATGCAGGAACCTCCCCAGGGGAGTCGTCATCGGTCATGCAGGAACCTCCCCGGGGGAGTCGTCATCGGTCATGCAGGAACCTCCCCAGGGGAGTCGTCATCGGTCATGCAGGAACCTCCCCGGGGGAGTCGTCATCGGTCATGCAGGAACCTCCCCGGGGGAGTCTTCATCGGTCATGCAGGAACCTCCCCGGGGGAGTCTTCATCGGTCATGCAGGAACCTCCCCGGGGGAGTCGTCATCGGTCATGCAGGAACCTCCCCGGGGGAGTCGTCATCGGTCATGCAGGAACCTCCCCGGGGGAGTCTTCATCGGTCATGCAGGAACCTCCCCGGGGAGTCGTCATCGGTCATGCAGGAACCTCCCCGGGGGAGTCGTCATCGGTCATGCAGGAACCTCCCCGGGGGAGTCGTCATCGGTCATGCAGGAACCTCCCCAGGGGAGTCGTCATCGGTCATGCAGGAACCTCCCCGGGGGAGTCTTCATCGGTCATGCAGGAACCTCCCCGGGGGAGTCTTCATCGGTCATGCAGGAACCTCCCCGGGGGAGTCTTCATCGATCATGCAGGAACCTCCCCAGGGGAGTCGTCATCGGTCATGCAGGAACCTCCCCGGGGGAGTCGTCATCGGTCATGCAGGAACCTCCCCGGGGGAGTCTTCATCGGTCATGCAGGAACCTCCCCGGGGGAGTCTTCATCGGTCATGCAGGAACCTCCCCGGGCGAGTCGTCATCGGTCATGCAGGAACCTCCCCGGGGGAGTCGTCATCGGTCATGCAGGAACCTCCCCGGGGGAGTCGTCATCGGTCATGCAGGAACCTCCCCGGGGGAGTCGTCATCGGTCATGCAGGAACCTCCCCGGGGGAGTCTTCATCGGTCATCCAGGAACCTCCCCGGGGGAGTTGTCATCGGTCATACAGGAACCTCCCCGGGGGAGTCGTCATCGGTCATGCAGGAACCTCCCCGGGGGAGTCGTCATCGGTCATGCAGGAACCTCCCCAGGGGAGTCGTCATCGGTCATGCAGGAACCTCCCCGGGGGAGTCTTCATCGGTCATGCAGGAACCTCCCCGGGGGAGTCTTCATCGGTCATGCAGGAACCTCCCGGGGGAGTCGTCATCGGTCATGCAGGAACCTCCCCGGGGGAGTCGTCATCGGTCATGCAGGAACCTCCCCGGGGGAGTCTTCATCGGTCATCCAGGAACCTCCCCGGGGGAGTCGTCATCGGTCATGCAGGAACCTCCCCGGGGGAGTCGTCATCGGTCATGCAGGAACCTCCCCGGGGGAGTCGTCATCGGTCATGCAGGAACCTCCCCAGGGGAGTCGTCATCGGTCATGCAGGAACCTCCCCGGGGGAGTCTTCATCGGTCATGCAGGAACCTCCCCGGGGGAGTCTTCATCGGTCATGCAGGAACCTCCCCGGGGGAGTCTTCATCGGTCATGCAGGAACCTCCCCAGGGGAGTCGTCATCGGTCATGCAGGAACCTCCCCGGGGGAGTCGTCATCGGTCATGCAGGAACCTCCCCGGGGGAGTCTTCATCGGTCATGCAGGAACCTCCCCGGGGGAGTCTTCATCGGTCATGCAGGAACCTCCCCGGGGGAGTCGTCATCGGTCATGCAGGAACCTCCCCGGGGAAGTCGTCATCGGTCATGCAGGAACCTCCCCGGGGGAGTCTTCATCGGTCATGCAGGAACCTCCCCGGGGGAGTCGTCATCGGTCATGCAGGAACCTCCCCGGGGGAGTCTTCATCGGTCATGCAGGAACCTCCCCGGGGGAGTCGTCATCGGTCATGCAGGAACCTCCCCGGGGGAGTCTTCATCGGTCATGCAGGAACCTCCCCGGGGGAGTCGTCATCGGTCATGCAGGAACCTCCCCGGGGGAGTCGCCATCGGTCATGCAGGAACCTCCCCGGGGGAGTCGTCATCGGTCATGCAGGAACCTCCCCGGGGGAGTCTTCATCGGTCATCCAGGAACCTCTCCCGGGGGAGTCGTCATCGGTCATGCAGGAACCTCCCCGGGGGAGACGTCATCGGTCATGCAGGAAACTTCCATAAACCAAACGTGAAAATTTAATTAGAACAGTTAAAGTGTTGAAATAGATAACTGGTTTTCTGTCTGATCAAACAGCATTTGTAAATATATAATGGTATTAAATTCCGTGAAAGTTAAGCCTTTAAACTAGAAACTGCACAGAGACTTAATTAAGAGACCCCCAACACAGAGACTTAAGAGACCCCGAACACAGAGACTTAAGAGACCCCCAACACTGAGTCTTAAGAGACCCCCAACACAGAGACTTAAGAGACCCCCAACACTGAGACTTAAGAGACCCCCAACACAGAGTCTTAAGAGACCCCAACACTGAGTCTTAAGAGACCCCCAACACAGAGACTTAAGAGACCCCCAACACTGAGACTTAAGAGACCCCCAACACAGAGTCTTAAGAGACCCCAACACAGAGCCTTAAGAGACCCCCAACACAGAAACTTAAGAAACCCCCAACACAGAGACTTAAGAGACCCCGAACACAGAGACTTAAGAGACCTCAACACAGAGACTTAAGAGACCCCCAACACAGAGACTTAAGAGACCCCCAACACAGAGACTTAAGAGACCCCCAACACTGAGTCTTAAGAGACCCCCAACACAGAGACTTAAGAGACCCCCAACACAGAGACTTAAGAGACCCCCAACACAAAGACTTAAGAGACCCCCAGCAATGAGACTTAGGAGACCCCCAACACAGAGTCTTAAGAGACCCCAACACAGAGACTTAAGAGACCCCCAACACAGAAACTTAAGAAACCCCCAACACAGAGACTTAAGAGACCCCCAACACTGAGTCTTAAGAGACCCCCAACACAGAGACTTAAGAGACCCCCAACACTGAGACTTAAGAGACCCCCAACACAGAGACTTAAGAGACCCCCAACACAGAGACTTAAGAGACCCCCAACACTGAGACTTAAGAGACCCCCAACACAAAGACTTAAGAGACCCCCAACAATGAGACTTAAGAGACCCCCAACACAGAGGCTTAAGAGACCCCCAACACAGAGACTTAAGAGACCCCCAACACAGATACTTAAGAGACCCCCAACACAAAGACTTAAGAGACCCCCAACAATGAGACTTAAGAGACCCCCAACACAGAGGCTTAAGAGACCCCCAACACAGAGACTTAAGAGACCCCCAACACAGAGACTTAAGAGACCCCCAACACAGAGACTTAAGAGACCCCAACACTGAGTCTTAAGAGACCCCCAACACAGAGACTTAAGAGACCCACAACACAGAGACTTAAGAGACCCCAACACAGAGACTTAAGAGACCCCCAACACAGATTTAAGAGACCCCCAACACTGAGTCTTAAGAGACCCCCAACACTGAGACTTAAGAGACCCCCAACACAGAGACTTAAGAGACCCCCAACACAGAGACTTAAGAGACCCCAACACTGAGTCTTAAGAGACCCCCAACACAGAGACTTAAGAGACCCCCAACACAGAGACTTAAGAGACCCCCAACACAAAGACTTAAGAGACCCCCAACAATGAGACTTAAGAGACCCCCAACACAGAGGCTTAAGATACCCCCAACACAGAGACTTCAGGGACCCCCAACACAGATTTAAGAGACCCCCAACACTGAGTCTTAAGAGACCCCCAACACAGAGACTTAAGAGACCCCCAACACAGAGACTTAAGAGACCCCAACACAGAGACTTAAGAGACCCCAACACTGAGTCTTAAGAGACCCCCCAACACAGAGACTTAAGAGACCCACAACACAGAGACTTAAGAGACCCCCAACACAGAGACTTAAGAGACCCCAACACAGAGACTTAAGAAACCCCCAACACAGAGACGTAAGAGACCCCCAACACAGAGACTTAAGAGACCCCCAACACAGAGACTTAAGAGACCCCAACACAGAGACTTAAGAGACCCCCAACACAGAGACGTAAGAGACCCCCAACACAGAGACTTAAGAGACCCCCCAACACAGAGACTTAAGAGATCCCCAACACTGAGACTTAAGAGACCCCCAACAAAGAGTCTTAAGAGACCCCCAACACAGAGACTTAAGAGACCCCCAACACTGAGACTTAAGAGACCCCCAACACAGCGACTTAAAAGACCCCCAACACAGAGACTTAAGAGAACCCCAACACTGAGACTTAAGAGACCCCCAACACAGCGACTTAAGAGACCCCCAACACAGAGACGTAAAAGACAATTTTTGGGCTGGGAGATGGGCTGCCTGGGAAGGCAGCCCATCTAGAGGAAGGAAAACCCTGATTTTAGACCTCCGCTGCCTTGCGGCCATACCCCTCTTTTGGGTAAGGTTTCAGGAGTCAACCTCGAGGAAAAATCCAGAGTTGGAGCCCCTAAGGCAGTTCGTTGTTGACTTCGACCTCGTTCTGGACGCTCCTGTGACAGTGCTGGAACCATGTGGATTGGCATTTGCCTTTCCATTGGATAATTTCAGCAACGTGGAGAGAGGGGACCTGCTTCCTTTGTAGCAGCTTCTCTTCCATATTTACCTACCGAGGCTTTGTACCCTGGAGAGGACACTCCAGCTTCGCCTCACAGCGTCGAACCAACACGGGAAGCGGCAGTCTACTGGTTTAAAGTTTTCTGCTCGATTGGCGAAGAGTGCGATGCCAGGGGTTTCTCCCGACGGTGGGAGGGGTCATCGCGCCCCACTGGGCAGCTATCACCCGTCTCAAGCTGGGCAAACCCCAGTCAATAAGGTGTTGTCTCGCCACCATCCGTTAACCTTACTGGGTGTGTGGGGTTTAGCGTGAAAACCGACAAGCGGCCCGAAAACTTTGCACCAAGCAATACCAATCCCAAAAAGAAAATATCAACTGCCCTAAAGCTGGGCACATGGAACGTCAGGACACTGACACCAGGTTTCTCTGACGACCTGCAAGAAATCAACGACGCCCGAAAAACAGCAATCATCGATAGGGAGCTGAGCAAACTGCAGATGGATATT